GGGGTGAGCGACTGCGCATGCTCGTGTACACCAGAGCAGGCGAGGGCCGCAGGGTCGCCCAGCCCAGCCGCTGCCCATCACCCAGGAGGCTCGCGGGAGGCACCCGACAGCCTGAGGACCGTGACTCTGGAAGGGGGATCTGGGGCGCAGGGAGGTTCAGAAAAGGAAGTCATGAGCCGAGGGTCTGTGTCTCTGGGGGTTGCAGCGGCTGCTGTCGATGGCCAGCTGCGGGTTGCTCTCTTTGATCTCTCTCAGGAGATTCTGGATGTCGTTGTCGGATTCGTCTATTTTCAACCTGGGGCACGAAGCAGGAGAAAACGCTGGTCACCTGATTCCCAAGTGCCCGAGGGCCTGGTGCTTGAGGGGCCCACAGGCCCTGGCCGCCCTCTCCCAGGGTCTGTGCTGCACAGGAAGGGTCATTAGGCAGTGGCACAGGGTGGACAGCAGCAGTGTGTGCCTGGATGGTGCTGGCACAGCTGGCATGAGTCGGCACCAATGGCACATGTGACAACTGATGCCACCTCAGTGACCCCTGCCGACCCCTGTCCTGTCTGGTGGACCCAGGAGCACCTGTCCCTAGGGACGTACACCTTGGACCAACCGAGGTGACCACCTCTTGTCTGGGCCGGCCCCTCGGCCACCGCACTGGTTTTGCCTCATTTCTAGGATTCACCCTGAGGTAATCCCACTCAACCATGTGAGGGTAGACGTGGGGACAGAGGGACAGGGGTCCCTGAAGGCGTCCGCTGCCAGGGTGCTTGTTGGCAGGGAGGCCCCACCTTGCCAGCACATCCTTGATTCGGGCTGGGGCTCACAACTGGCCGCGGGGCCCCGAGCTGGCTGGGTCAGTGTCTCATCAGCAGCCTGAAGCACCTTGGCTACCGCAGGCCCAGCTAGCACCGGGGCAGACTGAGGTGACCCTCCAGGTCAAGGGTGATTGCAGGAGCTCAGTCACGGTCTGCCTAGAGGACAGAGCCAACTCCCCAGCCAGACCCATGGCTTGCACACCCGTGGGGCGAGCGAGGAGCAGGTCCAAGACCCACCCCCGAAGACCAGGGTGGCCATCAGGATCTTTGGTGTCCAGCACAGAAGGTGTCAGCAGTCCACCTGGGAGTCACTGGAAGGTTGGGTGCTGATATAGGGCCCAAATCCAGGCTCTGGAAGGGCAGGGCCTGGTGCTCACGTGGCTCTGGGACTGGAGCAAGAAGCCCTTACCCGGTCACCGTCCCGGAACTCCAAGACCGTGGGGGGGTGACTCATGAGAGTGCTTGGTAGGGGCGGCAGGGCTTATGGCCCCGGGGCCTGACCACCGACAGGGACTCCGGGTGGAGCTTCCCGTGAGGTAAGCGTGCAGTCTGCTTCCTCCCCGTTCACGGCCGTTTCCAGAGCTCCTGTGAAGGGGCCTGCAGACCGCAGAGCCAAAGGCAGCTCCCGCCAGCGGTCAAGCTGGCTGCCGCCGACCGAGAGGGCACCTTGGGGGCAGCCTCGCTCTGGACAGCTTCCGTCCAGGGCCGACTGAAGGAGGTGATGGCTGGCCTCTGCAGCCCGCCCTCACATGATCCTGGCTTCTTGGCCTCCCACAAGTGCTGGTCTCCTCTCCGACTGGCCAATACAGTGGACGGGTCAACGGGAGGGCTCTCTGGTGACCAGCTGCCCAGGCAGGTAGCTGCATATTGGCAAGGGCCCCTGAGAGGGAATCCTAAGGCTTCCGTCTCACCTCAAAACCCTCCTGGGGGACAGGGCCAGGGCCCGTACCTGAGCGTCTGCAGGGGGCAGTTCTGAAGTCTCAAGGCGTCACACAGCATCTTGACTCCGTGGAAGCCCAGGGAGTTCTGGCCCAGGTCCAGGGTGACCAGGCTGCGATTGCAGATGAGGGCGGAGGAGAGGTCCTGGCAGCTGAAGGGGGTCAGGGAGCAGCCCCATAGCCTGCGGGGACACAGGAGCAAGGGAGACCCTGGCCGGTGCTCCTCAGGCCTCCGGTGGGCCTTGGGGAACCGACCCTGGGCATCGAGCATCAGGGCCTGTCCCCTAACAAGGGACAGGAGTGTGCCACATAGTACACGGGTGGGGGGTGGGGGCTGTGAGGACGGTAGTGGCCGGGTGGCTGGTTGAAGGCGACCCGAGTGGGTGGAGACCTGGAGGAGGAGCTCCCGGGCAGAGAAGCGCTGTGCTGAACCTCTGAACCCCGAGGTTGCGTATGATCATCTCAAAACCAAAGGTCAAGGCAGCAGACAAGACGGGCAGGGAGGATTAGGTACAGGGCAGCTCGGCAGAGCCAGGCTGCCATCATCCTCGGGTCTTGCCTGGGTTGAGACGGGTGCCCCCTCGGGCCCCGGGAGGGGGTAGGAGCTACACCTTGGGTATCCTTTTTGCTTGGGCGGAAAGCAAAGACACCTGACCTGTTTGAGGGCATGTGACCCCCAGGTGTCACCAGTTTGGGGAGGTGTGTGGCCAGACGCCAGGAAGAGGGCAACGGGGTTCCAGGGTGGATGGGACTTGGAAGAGGAGGAAAGAGCAACTGGAGGATTCTGTTCCGAGTGAAATCATCTGTTCAGAGATCCCGTGGGCTCCGAGTGCCCAAAAGTCCTGGTTTAAGACTCCATCTCATTCCCTCAGTGGCCACCCTGCTCCTGCTGGTGTGAGTCTGGCTTTTTAGATGCCCGTCACCGCAGCCATGCTCTGTTTGGGATGGGGTCTGAGAGCGCCATGGCTGGCCTGCTTGGTGGCTGGAGCGTCTGTGCAGACACAGGTGCCTGGCTGCTGGGGCAGTGCCCTGCTGAGGCAGCTGTGCCAGTCTCAGCCTCAACCTTGACCTGACACTCGGCTCCCGGGAATAAAGGGGCTCCCGTCAGACAGCCAGGGTTTCCCCCAGCTCTGCTGCACCTGCACCTGTCCACTAACAGTCACTTGAAACAGTGGCCTTGAGAGCTGCACCAAGCTCCTGACCTTGCACACGGCAACTTAGTACCAACCAGGGAGTCAGCTGCGTCCCGCTGCCAGCTCTGAACTGCTCAGTGACACGATGAACGAAGGCACTCCAGATGCCAGTGGCCCGGTGGAAATCAAGCTGGCCGCTTGGCCAGTCTGCCTCTGCATCTCGTCTGTTTTCCTTACAGCCGACGATGGCCAAGGTAGGAAACCATGCAGGTGTCCCCGGCAGGGGAGGATGGAGAGGGGAACAGCAGGTGTTGGCACAGGAGGCAGCGGCCCTGGCATTTGTGGCCACAGGATGAACCAGGAGGATGCTACGCGGGGCAAGAGGAGCGGCAGGACAGGCCCCGCTCACGTGTGGACGGCGCCTGCAGAGACCCCTGTGTATCTGGCCGAGGAGACCCAGCCCTGGCAGGACCTGTAAGGTGGCCCCCACTCGCTGGCCTCTGGGGTGTGTTCCCGGGTGCCGCTGGTTCCCACCTCTCTGGACACTGGGACTGGGCAGCAGGGGCTGCTTCTCAATGTCTAGCATCGCGGCTTCCAAGTTCCTCCCGATGACCTTTGGCAGACTAGAGCCCGTTCCCCCGACCGTCCTGGTGACTTTAAGATACTCCCGCTGACTTATTGGAACCTCTGGATCCCCACGGAGCCGCCCGCTCCGGTGACACCTCCCTCCCCGGCCGGGACGGTGCAGTAAGGCGGAACTCACCACAGGTGCTGCAGGCCGCACCACGGTGCCTTCAGAGCCTCACAGAGCACCTTCAGGCCGGTGACCCCAATGTGGTTCAGCCCCAGGTCCAGCTGTGTCAGTCTGGACCCTTGGCGGAGGACCGTGGAGAGGTGGCCACAGCCCTCGCTGGTGATGCTGCAGCACCACAGCCTGGAGGCAGCGAGGAGAAGGGACCGTCAGTCCCCGGGGCCACCTGAGCCAGGACCCTCCCCCTCGGCCAGCTGGGACCAGGAGACGGGAGGGCAGCCAGGGCGTCAACCAGATGGCGTGACCTCGACCACCACCAGACTAGCCTGCAGGCAGGGCGGCGGGGAGGTGGCTTCTCGCCATGGGAGGCTTACTGTGCGGACAGGGTAGATTTACTGTGCGATGGCGAGTAGATTTCAGATTCCGCCTGGAGCGTGTCCTAGGTGGGAACTCCAGGAGAAGCCGACATGGGGTGTGTGTGTGTGTGTGTGTGTGTGTGTGTGTGTGTGTGTGTGTGTGTGTGAGAGAGAGAGAGAGAGAGAGAGAGAGAGAGAGAGAGAGAGAGACTGTGTGGGTGAGACTGTGTGACAGAGACCGTGTGTGAGAGAGACCGTGTGTGAGAGAGACCGTGTGGGTGAGAGACCGTGTGGGTGTGCGAGACTGTGTGGGTGTGCGAGACTGTGTGTGTGGGTGTGTGTGTGTGAGACTGTGTGCATGTGAGAGACTGTGAGAGAGAGAGAGAGAGACACGTGTGTGGGTATGAGAGGGTGACCGAGTGTGACTGTGTGAGTGTGTGACTGTGGGGTGGATGCCCAACAGGCCCTGCGTGTGTAAGCCTGTGCTCCTACCAAGTCGCGTCCCCAGAGCTGAGTGAGCAGTTTCTCTGTCGGAGGCGACTTCCCGGACCGCAGAGCCGGCAGCGCTCGGCAGTCTCTCAACAGGACCAGGGACCACAGCCCCAACTGTTGGTGCTGGGGACGGAGCCCAGGCGCTGTGCCACCAAGCAACCTCTCCAGCGTTTTAGGGAACTGTTATTTTGAGGCAGGGTCTTGCTAAGCTGCGGGGATCCCCCAAGTTGCCCAGGCTTGGGGCTTGCACTCCGGCATCTCCGCCTCAGGGTTGCTGGGACGACAGGCGTGTGCCCGGACCTGGCAGCCCCTTTCTCTCTAAGGCTTTGTCCTTGGCGTCAGATGACTTCCACTGTGCCCAGGGCATGTGGCCTCTGCGACTCAGTTCTAAAAACCGGACCTGGGCACCCGCCACACCCCGCAGGGCCCCGTGTAACAGTGACACTTCTTTCTGTGCTGGGACCACACGCAGGGCCTCACGCAGGCTAAGGGTGCGTTCCACCCTGACCTATGTCCCTGGCTGGCACCAGTTTTCTTTGTCACCATCTCCCTGGTCTCGCCAGTTATAACTGCTAGTGTCATACTTGGGAGTTCTGAGGAGTTGTCTGCTGCCAGCAGCCCCTCGGGCCTCACGCACAGCGACCCGCGGGCCTCACGCACACGGCAGCCCCAGGACTTACACCAGCGTCTGCAGCCGGCACTCGGGGTAGCGCAAGCCCTCACACAGGGTCTCCACCCCATTGTCCCCGAGGTCGTTCTTGGCCAGGCACAGGTGTGTCAGCCTCTGGCTGACGACCAGAGTGACAGACACTTCCTTGCAACAGGCTTCCGTGAGTTGACAGTTCTCCAACCTGCAGGAGTCACAGGAAAGGCCAGTGAGCAGAGCACCCCACACCCAGTCTTCCCAGCAGCCTCCAAACAGGGGG